AGAATGATAGGGTTTGTGAGATTCAACTCTTAATATCTCATATTAATATGCATTCTTCCCCATTTCGCCCTTGCACTTTATTAAAAATTCCATCTTTGCCCTTTAATTCATTACAAAGACACCCCCATCTCTAATACATTCTTCATAAAATTTTCTTACTTTTCACTCCCCACTTTTACTATTAATTAGGGGTAGAATGGTCACTTTGCCCCTAAGGAAAAATTCTCTAGAAACTTCTCAAGAATTTCAGCCAGCTCTTAGCCCCGGCGAAGATTTTTCTTCACCTCGGCGAAAAATTCCAGAGCATACGTCGCCATGGCAATCTTTCTTCTTCGCCGCGGCGAAGTCTGCAATTCCTAACTTTGCCAATCCTTCACCAAAACTCAGGGCAAACAAGCAATATTACAAACATATAAGCTTAACTAAGGGTACACAAACAACACTAAGGGCCAGTAAGCATATATAAGCTACGTACCTCAAAACGGGCGTTACAATTCTTTTATGTTTTATATTGATTTATGTACATTTATCATCACATCGATCTATTGTTAATCCAATGAGATCACGCATGCATCCTATATGATTCTAACATTGTCAATCACGTATCTTTGGTTGGTACAAATTTTTGCATCAATATTGTTATACCTTTAAAGTTTTTTATACAAACTTTATCTATTTACAAATTGAAAAAAAAAAAAAAAAAAACTGTAAGCGAACAAACGCGATATCATTTAGCAGGTGTGAATGATATGACAATAAAAATGTAATACAAAAGTTTATATAATATTCGATCTTCTTATATTAATGAAATATAAATATTTGGTTTAAGAAAAAATAAAGAAAAATTGAAATAAAATCCAGTGAGAATTATATTAAATTTAGAGAATCCTTATAAAATGAGCAAAAGATGCAAATCATATATTACACCCATGCAGTGACGAAATCAAGATTTCATCTAAGTGGGAGAAAGTGAAAAAATTTCAAATTAGTCCGGGTCTAGTTCCAATTGGGACCCGTCACTCATGTCCCAGGCCCATGAGAAATTTCAGGGCCCAGACCGATCCATAGGCTTGGAAAATTTTTTCTTACCCCAAATTTTTTTACATTTAATGGGCCAAATAAAATTATTAGGGGGTTTATGTAATTTTTAAGGGCCTATAAAATTTTTTCTGCCCCCTAGTAAATCTTGTAAAATATCAATTTAACCCTCATATTATTTTGTCAATCTTAAATTTTACAGAAGGTTTTTTAATAATTTTCAAGAGACTTTTTTGAAAAATTGCAAAGGGGTTTGGGCCCGAGCCTTGGAGGAGGGCTCGATCTAGGGACCGTCCCTCCTCCATGGGCTTGGTCCGGGTTTGGGACCAGGTCTCCTAGGATCGATCCTCCCAAGGATCGGTCTTAGGACCAGTTTTTTGAGCCGATTTTTTGGGACCGGTCCCAAATGCCCAAGTCTATTTCAAATATTATCATGTATAAAAAAATACTTTTTAATTCATTAAGTTTAGTTAATAAGTATTTGTAGACAAAACAATTTTTTACTTATTTTATTTATTTGATTGTTAACAAAAGAAACAAATTAAAGTTTATTTGATATTTTAGAAAAACAAAAAATAAAATAAAAGTGGTGATAATCCTTAGATTTTGATTAAATAAAGTAAAGGGATATTAATGTTAAAACATAGAGTATAAGGGTATAATTGAGAATTTTCCAAGTTCAGTGGGGGCGTGAGCCCTCACTCACCCATCAGTGGCTCCGTTCCTGCATCCATGAAAGTCTCAGAAAACGCTTACTATAATAGTTGATGTCACACTCACACCAATAGAGCATCTTCTTTACCAATTGGACTCTCCAACTAGCTTGAGTATGTTGAATATTCTTATCTTGTTTTTAAAATATGTCAAATCACATATCCGACTGCTACTGTATTTTATTATTTAATAAAGATAAATTAATTAATTTTTTCTTATAACTTCTACGTGAACTTAGATGTAACAGTTTATCATTGATCCATTTCTTTATTAATTACTGTTGTTAGAATTGTTAGTTATTATAATTATTTACTCTAAAATTTTCTAAATTAAAATCAAATTAATCCGATGTTAATTGATTTGGTTGGGCTTCAAAAGCCCATGTAACTAACTACACTACGGGCACAGGCCGCTGGATTTTCATGGAGACCACAAAAGCTGTTACGCAATAGTTACCGCATTATTACAAAAAAAACGTGTAGCACGTGGGTGACTTTATTACCAAAAGCGGCCCAGTCAAGAGCGACGAGTTAATTATACACGTGTCAAAATCAGGAGGTGGAGGGCAGGACCCACGCGGGGAGAATAACTTTAACACGCATCCTGGGAACCAATGCGTGATTAGCGCACGGAAATAAGCTTTGTGTGATGTTTATTTTTAAGAATAAAATAATGGAAATAGACAAATAAAGAAATGAAACGTTCTTGAAGTGATCGAAAAAATGGTTGAAAAATAAGAAAAAGTCAGATTTTATGAGTTGGAAAACTGATGGAAGCCAGTTAAGCCTACGGTGGATCTGAATCTCAATTTGTTCAGTCAAAGTCAAAGGCTCCTCTGACCGCGCTTACATTTCACATCAAATCAAATTTATTTTTATTTTATATTTAAACGTTTTTAAATAGAAAAACTATTTTTTCAAAAGTTTCTTGTATTCTACGAAATATGGTATTCCGTATTCGTATTGATAAAGAAAACTTACAAAATTCATAAATATCTCTAAATAGTATGTAAATTGTGAGTTAATTAATAAAAAAATCTGTTTCATATTTTTATTTAATTTGATTGTGCATCTTGGATAATTAGGGTTTGTTTTCGAGTTAACGACTTTTTTCCATCCAAAAAATGGTTTTATAACATTTTTCCACCCACAAACTTTTAAGATACTATTTTATTACCTAAATTTATACTCTTGTGACGAACAGAGAACAAATTTGGTTCAAACTATTGGAGCTTTTGAAGAAGGGTGGTCTATAAGTCTTTTAGTGGTGGAATGTTGGATTTTGGTGGTTGAGATTAATCTGAATTTTGATTGGGAGGGGTGGCTACACAAACCCTAATCGCTCGATTGTTGGCAACTGGCAGGGTCGGCAAGAGTAAGGAGGTCGACAGGAATAGGGTTTGAGGGGTTTTGGTGAGTGATGATCAAGAAAAATAATGGTGATGATGTAGGGCTGCAACGGTGTCAGAATCGAAAACAGAATATAAATTTGGGTAGTAAAATTATATTTTAAAAGTTTATAGGTGGGAAAATGTCATTAAGTCATTATTAGGGTGGGAAAGAGTTATTTACTCTTCATTTTATGTATCATGTGATTTCAATTAATATTTAAAATATGAGTACTTTTTCCACTCAAATAATGGTGTAGTGACATTTTTTCATCCACATATTTTAAAATATTATTTTAATATTAAAATTTATATTCTATTTTCGATTCTGGTATCGTTGCGATCCCACATAACCACCATTTTCTTTCCTAATCATCACTCATCAAAACCCTTCAAACCTTACTTCCGTCAACCTCATCAATTGTCGAAAATCGAACGATTAAGGTTTGCATAACCGCCCCTCTCAAGTCAAATTTCGATCAATCCCAACTACTAAAATCTAACATTCCACCACCAAAAGACTCATCAGCCTCTCCTCTTAAAAAACTCCAACTGTTTGAACCGAGTTTGCTCTTTTTTTGCTGTTGGAATATAAATTTTGATAGTAAAATGATATTTTAAAAGTCTGTGAGTTAGAAAGTATCATTAAATCATTATTTAGTGGAAAACAGCGTTTGCTCTCAAAATATTTACATTGTCAAAAAGTGTTTGAAAATATTTATTAGTGAGTTTTCGATACTTTCATAAAGATTTTAATAATATATCATAGGTTTTTAATTATTCTAAATGTTTATAACACTTTCTTAATAATTGTGAAAAAAATTTATGTTAACCGATATTACTAAAATAAATGGAATAAATCAAAAATAATTATCGCGATATTAAGATAATACCAATTCATATGATATTACTAATTTTGGCATTTATAAGTTGTATTACTTTGGTTTGCAATTGCAAATTAAAACCTTTACTAAATATTTGGATTGGTGGTTATGAATTAATGGGTTAGGTGACAGAAAATAAATGTGAAACAATAAAATATTAGTTATAAAATTAATAAATTTGACTCTTTTGCTTAATTTAGTAATTAGGCAATGCTACTTGCCTTAATAAACTTTCCAATTTGTTTTCTATATATATATATATATATATATATATATATATATGTGTGTGTGTGTATGTGTGTGTGAAAGGGATAATTAGGAATACAATATATGATTTCCTACTTGTTTTACAAGGCAAATAGTTGATGAATTAGATTAGACAAGGTCATCATGTTGTGTTATTTTCAACGAGATTTATAAAGATCAACATGGAGCCTAAAATTATCAAATTACTGGACGATTTTATAGTGATTTTATAACCAACACATAGTGGATACTTAAATTAGAGTAATTAATACGGCAATTGATTTGATAAATATAACATGGAGAAATACTAAATCACCATATTTATTAATGAAAAAATTTCATAATTAGCTAATGAAAATAGTATTTTTCAATTTATGTATTATATTTAATATATTTTGAATGTTATATAATTGAAGTAATAATAAAAGTTATGATTTAGTCGAGGTGCGTATAAATTGACTCGAACACCTTAATTAAAAAAAAAAAATTCTTAAACAAGTTTGGATGAATAAAGAAATATTAGATAATTTGTTTTTTTTTATAATTTACTTTTTTACACTGCTACAAAATTGATAAAATTAAAAAGTGATATGAAAAAATATATATAATATCTGGTCATCTCAAAACTTGATAAAATTCATATAATCTTGATATAATTATCTTTAATAATCATCAAGATTACACGTCATTAATTTAGATCCGTACAATGAACTTCATTAAACAGCCAAAGCCAATCAGTCCACTAAACGCAAAAACGACACCGTTAGCCGGAAATTACAACAAAAGCACCACTATAAATTCCCGGCGAAGTTATTCTTTCTCCTCTCCACTCCTTCGTGGCACACTCATCACAACTTCAACTATCTTCTCTCGGAGGATTCAGGTAAAACGCGGCGTTTTCATTTCACTACTAATTTTAGATATTTTAGATCTGGTCCTTGTACAGCCTTCGTCCACCGTTCAATTTTTATTTTTCTGTTTCAACGTCCCAGTCAAAACATTTTCACAAACCCTAGCGAGTCATAAGACAGATCTGGTGATTAATAGCTGTGTTTTCAGTTATATTTCGTCATTAGTTTTTTCATCTTTATCTATTACGCGTTTTGACTGTGTTTTTATCATCTTTAAATTCGAAATCTTATGGTGGATACACGTGCTCTGAAAACTTGAAAGTTTCGGAGATCTTTTCGGTTTTTCGAGAGTTTTTGTTTTTTATAGTTGAGACAGTGGATGAAGTAGTTGAAAACTTGAAAGTTTTTGTTTTACAAGGTTCGGATCTAGATCTGTTGACCGGATGATTCAAATCTCTTGATTTTCCGTTTGGTTCTCGAGAAAATTCTGGATTTTCTCGGCAAACGAACGGATTTGTAATTTTTGAATCATATGTTCTTTATTGTTGTGAAATTGAGAATTTCGATTGTGTTTTTGTGTGATTAGGCGTTTTTCTGTTGAAGTTTTCGGATTTTTGAAGATGAATCAATTGTATCATCAGAAGAACGCCTTTGTCGCGCGTGAGGAGACGCGCGGTTTTGAATTCTCTGATCAGAGGGAGTCTGTTGTTTGTCCGAAGCCCCGACGAGTTGGGATTTTGGCGAGTAATTGTACTAGGCCCTTTAGATGGCAATTGAGGTAAATTTTTCTTTCGCTCTCTCTTCTTTCCTTTTAAACTTTGTTTTTATTTATTTAGAAGTTTCAGTTTTAATGAAATCGTCATTTCATTCCAGTCATCCAGTTGGGGTGTCTGATTCAAACGCCGGGGCAGAGCTTCTAGACATCATTCTCATGAAGGTAAGCTTAATTAATTGTTAAGATTTTATTACGTGGAAGGATTAGTTTTTCATTTGTTAGATGTATGACTAAGTCTATAAATATTTTATGTTTTGATTTTCTATAGGAGGGTTATGGCGTGGAACAAACAGCATCCCAGGTAGCATCTTCGCCCCCGTATTTTAGTGGGTCTCCTCCAAGTAGGGCTGCCAACCCTTTGATTCAAGATGCTCTATTTGGAGATGAAAAACTCACACCATTGCAAGTGCCAGTAGTACCATCCCCGTCTGGTTTACCATCACCTTCATCATCAGCACGTAAGGCTGGATGTACTAGAATGAAGTTCGGGCTTAAACCAGCAACTGTTAGAGTAGAAGGATTTGATTGCCTTAACAGGGATCGCCAGAATTCCAGCATCCCTGCTATGGCCTAGATTTCCATAAAAGAAACTGTACATAGAAGGAAGCTGAATGTCAACATAATTCACAAGAGCAGCAGACCTAACAAGAAGAGGGAGTTTTGAATATTTTTGGAGAGAATTAAGATGATGTGTTAAGTAGTGTATATAAATCGATATGTGGTTTTTTTGCCAGTGATCTATCTCATTGCTAATGTCTCTGTAAGTATTTCCGATTGAACGGCAAACCTTGTGACTTGAATATGTTGGAGAGCATGGTGCTATATGTAATATATGATAAAAGTGATTAGTACTGGGAGGGTCTTTTCATTTGTTTTGTGAACGATCACCATGGAAAGAATTTGTATAGAGTCTGTGGGTGATTGAAATTTGGTCATTGACCCTGTAAATGTATTTTGGCAATTGTTAATGGCCTGGTTTGGTTCTATCTTTTTCCCTCTGCCTGCTATTTTGTTGCGTATACATAAATGAAGAGAGTTGCTTTTTCGTGTTGCATACCCCTTTCAGATAAAAATATTACAATTGCATGTGTTGTTGATTATGTGGAATTCTTCATTTGCCTAACATGGATTTGATACGCTTTTATTTTCCATTGCCCAACTTTTTTTTAGGAAGATGATATGTATTTGCCTGTACTTCCCTAAGTCTTTAACAGTCTCACGATTTTTTCCCACTCAAATAATGACCTGATGATATTTCTCACCCAAAAAGTTTCAAAATATAACTTTATTACGTAAACGTTTAAGTTTCGTTGATAATTTTTGTTAAATATCATGATATTCATTGTAAATACGAAAATACAATTCTCTCTTCTTCTTTTCTTAGTCTCCATCGCGGCCAAAACCATTACCTGTCTGATTAGGCCAGATTTGGCTTAATTCCGACACCATCACAACCCTTTGAAACTTCCATTAGACTTCTCACATCACCCACACGACCACAGCAAAACCCCTCTCACTCCAACATCGGTGCACGCTCCAATAGCCAATCAACGACCATTGTCCTTTTAGCATGCTTTCCCATCTTCAAAGCAAGATTTAGGTCAATTTCGCCATTAGAAATCACCCCTACCACCACCATTTGAACACTCATCCTCTCATCAACAAAACTCATCCACCCATCAATAGTCTCTAGTCGTCGTTTGTCATTTGTGAACCGTACTTGTCGCGGCGTGACAGTCGCATTTTGTGACATCAACAATTGTTTGTGGAATTGGTTTGTCAAGGAGATTGGTGGGAGATTGTTGTGTATTGAGAAGTGTTGAATTGGTTGAGTTTACAGGTGAATTTTCTAATTTTTCCCATCCCCAACCTTCCACACAACTTCCGAACCCAAGCGCACACCACCTACATGACAATTTGCTCCAACCAAAACCCAAGCCTCACCGGACAACACCATCCCACTTGCTCGACCATTTGTCCCAGCCAACCTTCTCCTATCTTTCAACCTCCGACCTCCCTTCTTTAAAACCTCTTAAACCCCGACACTTGGTTACTCACTAATCGTCGGTTGTGAATCGTCGCCCTCTTTCCTCGTTCATTGTTTTCTCAGCAAAGTGGAATTTTAAAATTTGATTTTTGATACAAAATGTTAATTGACCATTCTACACTTCTTCACAACGAAATTTACTAACAGATTTATGCTGTGGGTAATAAAGTTGTATTTTGAAATTTTTTGGATGAAAAATGTCACTAAGCCATTATTTTGGGGAAAAAGTTGTTTACTTCCTTACCAATTCGCTATTATTCTTTGTTGGTTTAGGTGTCTTGTTGCTGATAGCCTGACATTTAGATGTTTATGGACTAGATATACTCAGCACTTGAGAGAATATTCGACTAGGCGTGGAGCCGTGGACGGCATCTTCGTTTTGAGAAGCTGAAATTTCTTACACCATCTATTTTTGATGTCGAGCCAGTCAGCTCAAACAAAAATCAAACAGCTTATTGGCAATAATAGATAGCACAAATTACTCTACACTTTCTTGTAATTTCCTTAATAACAAAAGCTGGTTACAAAGTGTCGAGACTGGCCCACTTGATGGGCCGAGATCAATACATACTTGTAAGCCCAAGTTGCAGTTTAATTTTTTACCCCATGCATTTGAAACTTTTGAAGTTTCCAAAATACTGAGTGATAATATATGTTAGGGGAGTATGAAAGAAACTTACTTGACTCAGAGGTTTCTAAATGGAACACTTACATCCTTATACTTTCTAAATAAAACAATTTACACCCAAGGATGTAGCTAGAATTTTTAGTCAGTAGAGTCAAAAAGAGGAATCTATTATTCGGTGTTACAATTTCAAACCCATTTATTAAATTCAACAAAAACTCATAGTTCATGATCTTTTATCAATTAAGAAAGATAAAAGAAGAGTTTTCTAAGTAAAATAACAAAAATTAAGAAAGATAAAAGAAGAGATTTTTGTGAGGTTAACATAAATAAAGTGGGATTAAAATTATCAATTACTATAAAAGATGAAACTATTTTAGTTAAATTTATTTCAAATTTTCGGTGGGTTCCCATTTTCAATAAAGTGGCTGTCTTTTCTCTTACAATAAAAAGAGTCTAATATATGATATTTCTCACATGATCAAAATATTAAATATATTAAAGTATCTAATCTAAATATATTAAACTTTGACAATTGGATAAGCCATTTGGGAAATAAAACTTTCTTCTATAGTGTTGTCCATTTTACCCTTACGACACTTCCTTTTCACCACATTATCAATTAAAAGGGTGTTAGTGTGTTTCATTCTGAAACCTATAAGTGTCGTTGTTCTTTCACTAAACCCCAGGGGTGTCCATGTAAAAATCTCATTGTTAGAGTATCAAACATGCAGTAGTCGTTCAGCCAAGTGAGCAGAAGTTTAACTGGCCATGTGAAGTTCAGCTGATGGACACGTGAAGAGAAGAAGCTGACTCTGACTCAGCAAGTTATATTGTTTATTGTGTGAGTTGCGGAAGTTAAGGCAGGTTGTTAAAACTGTAAACTAGAAGCTATTAAAGAAGACTTAATTATTGTAATTTAGTACAGTAAATATTGAAATTGAATAAAAAGCTGTCTCTGTTCTTAGCTCAATTGAAAGAAGTCGGATGTGATGATGCGATGGACATGGAAAGCCGGAACGTTATAGGCTGAATGGAATGACTGATTAATGCAAATGGAAGATTAAATCTCGTTAATGGGGATCGATGAGTAATCAAGGAGTGGACTAGTTTCTTGAAATGCATATCCTGGAATAAGATGTTTAGCGGTAGGTTTTTCTAAATGTTTGATGCTGCTGTGAGCTTATATATCTCTGAGTTTGAGACTTAATATATTCATTAAATTAATATGGGTGGGTGTTAAATATGTTTAAAAACAATGCATATTCTATGCTTAAAACCATAATTTATGGGTGTCAAGACAGTAAGGCTATAAGGAAGAAAGAGATTTTCTTTATTCATCTCTCTACAATTGTGGATCAGGTACATTTTTTTTTTTTAATATTACGCATCAATCTGTTAAAGTATTTAATATTTTGCTGGAAACTGGTTTGCTGTTCAAGTTTGTATTTTGGCGCCAAGTTTGAGTATGTTAAAGGCTGTCTTTCAAATGTTGTATTTGGTTGGTTTTTTGAAATTATTATGTGATGTTTTTAGGTGATGACAACCGGTGATTAAGGCCATTATATGACATTGTAAATTAGTATTAGTTAGAGTTGTTTAGAGTGCCTTGTATTTGCGAAAAGTTATCACTGCAAGAGTTGTTGTAACAGTGAAGAATTTTGTGTTTATATTCCCCTGTTCAATGAACGAAAATAGAGCGTATACATGCTGAAGCTTTTCTCTCTTTTCAACTCTCTCTTTCATGCATGTTAGCCTTCTTTCTCTTAGCATAACCAGACTAAAAAACCTACAATTGGTATCAGAACCATCCTTGATCTTTCAGGACCAAAAAACTACCATATGTGAGCTTCCTCATGGCGTCAAACCCAACTCCATTTTCTCCACCTGATCCAATTCCTACCAATTTGCAACAACAAAACACAACAAAATATGCCCTAAATTCAAGCTTAAATTCGGCCAAATACACTAGAGGAGCAATGTCACACTTACTTGCAATTTTGGGTTAAGACAAATATAAAATACTTCAAGCATAAAGGAATTCTCCACCAACTTGAATTGATTCACCGCCAAATCTCTGTGCCAAGACTTGGATAAATAAATCACAACAAGAACACAAAGTTCTCTCAATGGTTAAACCAAATTTTTGATATTTCATAAACTAACTCTTAAACCAAATCTCTGTGCCAAGACTTTATATAGGCAATTACAAGGTTAAAAGAGTAATCAACAAATACAATACAAGAAAATGAAAATAATAAATATTACACAAATAATTACAAGCCATTCATTCAAAAAAAAAAAAAAAAAAAAAAAACAAGACCATACCTATTTAATGCAAAAGGGACATGATTTCCTAATTCTAAGATCCATGTCTTTAACCACCCCATTAGTTAAAAAAGCTCACTCTATTAGCTCAAAGCTTGATCAGTGATCCTAATCAAGTCTACTAATAAGGGTGTAAGTGTTTGGGCCTTGGGAATCTTGTAAATGGATCCAATAGAGGTTCATGTGGGCTTCCCCTTTTGGAATGAGACTTGGGCCGAATGGATTCACAACAACACTTGGGCTTCTCTCTTGGACATTTGGGCTTCTCTCTTGGTGGGCTTGAGCTTCCTTTGATGGGCTTGAACTTGGAATGGTTTGAGCCGAAATGCTTGGGCTATCTTCCTCCTTGGAACTTGCTTGGGCCGAATTTCCTCCATTGCTTTTCACACTCCACAATCCAAGTATTTTAGGAATTGGAATGGAATTCTTTGATTCAACCGAATTAGCAAGTGTTTTAGGACTTGTAATTCCTTATCCACTCATGTTTACAAGTGTTTTAAGACTTGTAAACGTATCATCCTCCCCGGGTTGAGAAGGATTTGCCCTCAAATCCAAATTGTCCTCCAAGTATGGGCTTAGATCCCCCACATTGAAGGTGGCCGAGACTCCCCCATACTCACTAGGCAACTCCACTTTATAAGCATTATCATTTACCCTCTTAACAATCTCAAAAGGTCCATCAACCCTAGGAGCTAATTTACTCTTTCTCTTATTTGGAAACCTCTCATTTCTCAAGTGAATCCAAACTAAATCCCCCGATTGGAAAAGCTTAGACTTTCTATGCTTGTTTGCCTTATTCTTGATCTTTTCATTTGATTTTTCTATTTGAGCTCTCACGGTTTCATGGAGTTTCTTCATTTGCTTCAACTTCCCATTAGCATTCACACTTGGCTCAAAATCAAGGGGTAAGGAAGTGAGATCAAAAGGGATAAGTGGGTTTACTCCATACAACACCTCAAAAGGAGTGTGACCCGTAGTAGAACTAGGACTCCTATTGTAGGTAAATTCAGCATGTGCCAATTGCAAATCCCAATTCTTTAAATGCTTACTCACT